GGCGGCTCCAGGCGAATCAACTGGATCAGTCCATTTTTAAGAAATAAGGGGAGTTCTGTAAAATCCAGTTTATTGAAATTGTCTTTGAGATAAAGTAATCCGTTAATAATGATTTTGAAAACGTTAACCAAAGAGTGATTGTGTTCAAAGAATACATGTACAACAGCCAATATAAATCCTTGTATTAGAAACCGGTTTGTCATGCTTTGTTTCATTTGTAGGATATTTCATATGCCAAGCCGTGTGCTATTACGTTATGGGGAAATTTAGATGCCAATTTTTCCTTATTATACACAAATAGAAGATCCTGAAACTTCACCCATAAATGTGGAATTGATTTGTCAAAATAAAAATCACCCTTTTATAAATGTGTGACGATCTATAATATACTTATGCTATATAACAGTTAGAGGTGTTGATACAACGACCTCGAACCTGTGAACCCTTGAGTATTATTCCGGGATCGGGCCTTTTATACTAAACGGTGAGCAACACCTGAAACGAGCGTTCGATTTGCTAAACGATATGCGTCACCCTTTAAATGGTGGACATTTTTAAAATGGCTGTCTTCTACATAAAGTGTCATTAGACAGTGTGTCATGCTTATAGTATTCACATACCAAATATGAACAAAATCGCTCCACTACTTTACAAGTTATAGTAAAATACGTTAAAATGGTGGCCAATTTTAGTAATATACATTAAAATGGCGGCATACTTCCAGTGTAGGATATTCGGAGAAAAAAAACGAGGAAAATAAAATCCTCGAAAGAACAAAGGTATTGGACCATTTTGCTACCTAACTATCGCCAAGGACAGTGGTGTTTTAAAGAGATATGAATCAAGTACCATGTGTGAGCTCTCAAGTCACAACTCCAATGCAATGGCCAAACAACTTACAGATGAAAATTCACTTGGAGATATTTAATGGCGATCTGACAATATAGACAAGCTTATATTTCAAAACAAGAAAATGCAGCAAACTCCTTGAGTCGAGGTCTCCAAGTCAAAAAAATGCCTGACCCTCTCATATCTGTTGATTATCCTGTTTATAACTGATCCAAGAGCATGGCACTGAACGAACCTATATGCTTATTTGTTATTTGTTTAGTTGTCGGTTGGGCAACATGTTTATGACGTCACAAATGATGCGAAGAATCTTTAAACCAATCAGTGAAGTCTATATTAATTGTTTGTTTAGTTGTTGATGTGGCAATTCGTGTCTGACGTCACAGGTGATTGCATCATATTCCAGTCACGCCATTTTACGACATTGCATAATCTTAGCTGATTTTGGCTTCATTTCACTTAATTTGAAAGACTTTTAAAAATATAATAATGAGTTAGTATTTTTTCTTATAAATATTAATATTTGAATTTGAGGTCGAAGTCCGAAAATATGATCAACTGATTGAAATCACATTTTAAAGAGGTGAAGAAGTGAATAATTACAGGAGCAAACGTGATCAATGGTTCGAGGTCTCCCGCAAAGTAGTCGCTACGCTCCTACTTTGCGCTGCCTTCGGCAGAGCAGACCTCGAAAAATGAATATGCAGTAATTCACGTATTAGTTAGTCTACATCATCTTGCCTTCTGAGTGATGATATTGGTGAACACTTGACAAAAGTGGACATTAGCTTTAGGACATTCATACTGTTTCTCAAGTTTGAAGTTACTCGTATCAAAATTGAAGATGATGTATTATGGGACCCCTATTGGTGACCCACTTGAACAGGTAGATTGCTAGTAAAAACTAACTTTTGGTTTATATTTCTGTCTATAGCTAGGTTATGGAGACTTCCATTAGGATGTACAGTCAGTTCATGCATCCTAAATCCTGTTCTCGCATAAGCTCTCAGTCGACGAGAATCTAAGATGGAAGTCAACCTCCAGAATGAAAACTTAACGATACAGTATTATATCCAGATTTAGATTAACACTTTCACTCAGGCATGCATTCTAATAATATCAGTAATATAATTATTCATTTTCAAACAATTTGGCAGTAACAGGAGTTATTTCTGTCATATTTTATGTATACCCAAAATAATTGGTCCCTCTCAAACTGGCCAAATGGCTGCAGAATGCTTGTCTATTAAGCGTGAGGTAGCGTGTGTGAGTCCCGACTTTTGTAATTTTATTATGTTTTTTAATTTTATTTTTAATTTTCATTTTCATCCTTTTGGAACCAGAATGTATTTTCTTGATACCTTTTATATGACACACAATTATATTTATTACTTTTAGACCTTAAAATGGCAACTTTGTTCATTACACATACAATGGCCGGCCACAGGTCAGTGAATAACTATAACTATGGAATAACACAATTAATTATTTGAATTAAATTGTTTGTTTTTTCTCAAGATCAGAATGGTGAATTTTCCTAGATATTTTTGTTCCCATTGAATGCAATGTTAAGAAAATGATTTTTTCAAAATAAAAAACACTCCCAAAATCAAGTCCAATGCCTTGGCCTGGCTGGAAGAAAATTCAGACAGATCAACCTTACTCAGTCACGGACCCCATAAATTTTTTGATGGATGTATTTCTTCTTGTTATTTGCTTTTCTTGTATTATACGGTACATTTAATCTTATGTCCCTTCTCTTCAATTTCATCAGCTAGAAGTGCAGTGTAGCGAAACGTTTTTCCACTTTTGTTTGCCATATTGGATTAGTTCATGAAAACAATGTGGATGCTTAAAATTGTTTTCTTATATTTACAGATCAAAGTTTTTATCCTAAAATTATAAATTGTGGTGATCACAGTATCATTTCCTGATATTTAAAACAGATATTTATAGCAAAATGCAAAGATTAGCACAAGACAGCTTAAACTAATCGCCATCAAATTTTTCAGTAACAGTTATATCCTGGATCAAAATCTGGGGCGTTGGGATACGGTTCAGTATCCCAATGCCGTTTCACTCTGTATCCAACGCTAAGTTGAGAGTGTGTGTAATTATACAGGATATATTTAAGTCACATGGACCAATCAGATTGTAGGAAATTTCACCATCATAGAATAATGAACCATATCCCAACGCTGATGTTATTTTCACTCTATTTCCAACGTTAAGTTGAAAGTGCATGTAAGTACAAGATATATTTAAGACACATGGACCAATCAAATTGCAGGGAATTTCACCATCATGGAATAAATCAGTATACCTTTCTCCTAGATTTTTTCAAGAAAATCTAAATTGTAGAAAAAAGTCGATTAACAGTTCTACCCTTATTCCAACATATCTGCCAATGCATTTGATGAACGACTTTCATACCCAGTTTATATTTTTGATAATGGACTTATAAATTCTGATAAATCATACTTTTTTCTTGGGGTTAATTCCCCTTAAATGTAAAAAAAATCAATCTTATACCTCGACTAAATGTACTTTCTGTGACATGTTTTTCTATTGCACCTCCTGTTGCCCCTGGTGGTGATGAGGTTGAATTATTTGGACTAGAGTTGCTTGATGAATTAGAAGAGTGTCTAGGAGTTAAGGCTTCGCTATCAGATGCATGTCTGCAATACAAATTCAGCAAATTATCTAAAAAATGCTACTTGCAAAAGTAAAATAGTTTTTACAAAAGGCAAGTCTACTGGGCTAATAATTTTTATGAAAAATTAGAAATAACACCCAAATTAAATTATGAATTCACAAGAGGACATTTAAGTCTACAATATGTAAAAATATCAAAACTGTCCGAAGCAGGCGTAACGTGCAGTAGACCGATTCAATAAAAGTCAAGTCTCGGTTTGGACAACAAAGTTTATCAGTCTACTGTGCTAATCATTTTTTTATGAAAAATATAGAAATAACACCCAAATTAAATTTTGGATATTCAAAAGAGGACATTTAAATCTACAATACGTAAAAATATCAAAATTCTCCAAAGAAGACATAGCGTGAAGTAGATTGATGACCTTCATTCTCCAAACTGAGACTAGTCTTTTAGACAAGACGAAAAATCCTCCAAAGTCTTAAAATACAGTAACATTATAAGGACCAAAGTGAAAATATTGTTACACAGTACACTACCAAAATATTATTATTAGTAGACATCATCTAACCTTATATGGGATATATTGGCCTGGCTGGAAGAAAATTCAGACAGATCAACCTTACTCAGTCACGGACCCCATAAATTTTTTGATGGATGTATTTCTTCTTGTTATTTGCTTTTCTTGTATTATACGGTACATTTAATCTTATGTCCCTTCTCTTCAATTTCATCAGCTAGAAGTGCAGTGTAGCGAAACGTTTTTCCACTTTTGTTTGCCATATTGGATTAGTTCATGAAAACAATGTGGATGCTTAAAATTGTTTTCTTATATTTACAGATCAAAGTTTTTATCCTAAAATTATAAATTGTGGTGATCACAGTATCATTTCCTGATATTTAAAACAGATATTTATAGCAAAATGCAAAGATTAGCACAAGACAGCTTAAACTAATCGCCATCAAATTTTTCAGTAACAGTTATATCCTGGATCAAAATCTGGGGCGTTGGGATACGGTTCAGTATCCCAATGCCGTTTCACTCTGTATCCAACGCTAAGTTGAGAGTGTGTGTAATTATACAGGATATATTTAAGTCACATGGACCAATCAGATTGTAGGAAATTTCACCATCATAGAATAATGAACCATATCCCAACGCTGATGTTATTTTCACTCTATTTCCAACGTTAAGTTGAAAGTGCATGTAAGTACAAGATATATTTAAGACACATGGACCAATCAAATTGCAGGGAATTTCACCATCATGGAATAAATCAGTATACCTTTCTCCTAGATTTTTTCAAGAAAATCTAAATTGTAGAAAAAAGTCGATTAACAGTTCTACCCTTATTCCAACATATCTGCCAATGCATTTGATGAACGACTTTCATACCCAGTTTATATTTTTGATAATGGACTTATAAATTCTGATAAATCATACTTTTTTCTTGGGGTTAATTCCCCTTAAATGTAAAAAAAATCAATCTTATACCTCGACTAAATGTACTTTCTGTGACATGTTTTTCTATTGCACCTCCTGTTGCCCCTGGTGGTGATGAGGTTGAATTATTTGGACTAGAGTTGCTTGATGAATTAGAAGAGTGTCTAGGAGTTAAGGCTTCGCTATCAGATGCATGTCTGCAATACAAATTCAGCAAATTATCTAAAAAATGCTACTTGCAAAAGTAAAATAGTTTTTACAAAAGGCAAGTCTACTGGGCTAATAATTTTTATGAAAAATTAGAAATAACACCCAAATTAAATTATGAATTCACAAGAGGACATTTAAGTCTACAATATGTAAAAATATCAAAACTGTCCGAAGCAGGCGTAACGTGCAGTAGACCGATTCAATAAAAGTCAAGTCTCGGTTTGGACAACAAAGTTTATCAGTCTACTGTGCTAATCATTTTTTTATGAAAAATATAGAAATAACACCCAAATTAAATTTTGGATATTCAAAAGAGGACATTTAAATCTACAATACGTAAAAATATCAAAATTCTCCAAAGAAGACATAGCGTGAAGTAGATTGATGACCTTCATTCTCCAAACTGAGACTAGTCTTTTAGACAAGACGAAAAATCCTCCAAAGTCTTAAAATACAGTAACATTATAAGGACCAAAGTGAAAATATTGTTACACAGTACACTACCAAAATATTATTATTAGTAGACATCATCTAACCTTATATGGGATACTCTGGGGCTACTTTTGGTAACTCTAGACGTAGAACTGGGACGGGGGAGTTCAGCTTCTATACTGGAAACAGAAGAACGCCTCTCTTCCAGACTTTCCTTAATTAGTGGGGGACCTGAAATATACCGCAAAAGCTACATGTTCAATGGACAGACAGAATAATATGTTGCTATATGGTAACAGATATTGGCTGAAATATGTTGGACCTTTAACATGTTTATATACTCCTCAAAAGTTATGGACCAGTCTTTTTCCTCCTAGGTTTATATGTTAAACCCCCATGTATCTTTGAACTCTATTTTCTAATCCCGAACTAAAGAAAAACTGATAATGTAAATGGATACCTGAAATGTAGTCTCTAAATTTCAAAAAATTTCAAATTCAATCTCATCATTACAATTAAATAGGTAAAAAATTGATGTAAAATTTGCTGAATTTAAAATGGTAAAACCAATGTAAACGTATGAGAAAATATACATCCATGTAATTGCTCTCAAAAATTTCTAACTTGTGTACAACAAAAATTGATTTGTTTCTCCTGGTTTTACAAAGTTATGAGTCTCCAAAGTCAAAAAAATACTTTTATGCTCTGTATTCTAAATTCTCACAAAGTAAGCATGCAGAAAGTAAAACAATTCAATTGTCTACTCAGAAATTATTTTTAATAAATGTTTTACTGAATAGATATCCAACAATCTGATTCTGATTTGCCCCTTACCCACCATTTCCCATTGGTAAGCATAGGTTCTACCATTTTTTTAATTCATCAGTGTTAACTTTTTTGAGGAGTGTATATGTTCACAGTAAGTCAGTCTAAAAGTACCTGCTAAACTTACTCTCTTAAATTATTGCAAATGGTTACAAAATATCTATTTGTTTGTTATATTATTTGGGTATTTGTTTGTTGCCATGGTAACAGATATTTGCAAAAATGCAGAACTCATAGCACGTTTATATGTGGTCAAAGCAAAAATTAGGAAGTCAGTCTAAACAATACTTGTTAAGATATTGCCATGCAAAATGTTATAGGTCCACTTATTTGGCAAACAGATATTGGCAAAAATGTCTTAAAACTCATCACATGTTTATTCATGTTCACAGTAAAAATTTCAAGTCAGGCTCAACAGTAATTGTTAAGTTATTGGAAGTTATAAAAATCTGTTAAAGATGCCAGCCTAACCCTGGCTGCGGAACACCATCCACAAAAAAGTTGGAGACTTAACAATATGTCATCACTTCTAGTCTGATAATGACAGAAAAATGTAATTTAGAAAATAAAATATTGTGATTGATAGTATCAAAGGATTCTGAGAAATATAAAATACACCAAGACATATGTTATTGGTGTACAGTACATGTATTTACTTACATGGTGGGGGTAGATGACCATGAAACAGCACATCTCCACAGCTAGACTGCTCCACCTCCTCACATAGCACCAGCCTCTTCACTGATATACAACATATTATATGGATATCACATGTTAAACAACAATGTTGTGTTGTGATTGGTCAAATAACAACATGTGATCAGTATATAATTTAATTTACCACATTTCATACTAGAAAAGTTCAGGACAAAGCAAATTATGATGTCCAAAGAACAGATAAAATATTTTTACTTTTGTACATTTGTAGGTGTGAGGTTATGTAGTTTTATTGAGGTAATAAGCGATGCAATAAGCGATGCAATAACATTTCCTGGTGGCCAGTTGAATAGAACCTTGATAGCTCAGATTATTTGCATAACTCACCGAGAGGTGTCACTCCATAGTATTCAGCTTCATGTCTAAGAGCATGAACTGGGATATTCCTACAAAATATACATAGAGATATGATCATTATAGTCCTTTTTTCATTTCATCATGGTGATAATAACCCAGATGCGAGTAAGTGGTTACCAGTTTCACCAGCAGGTGGCTAATTCGGGCCAGATAACATGGCAGGTATATTAGAAAGTTCCCTTTAACTTGAATATTCATCAGTTTTAGTGGTTCAATTTTCATATTACCCTTGTGTATCTGATAGTAATTCAAATTAAAATATGTTCAGTAAAAGAAATTATAATGCACCTGCCCAATATCTTTTTGAAACTGCCCAATATTTTTTTGCAACTGACCAATATTCTTTTTCAATGTTTTTGCAACATTCCCCACTTTTAATAGAGTTTTATTTCTGAATAACCAATGAGTTCTACTAAAAGCTAACATGAGAAACTGATGGCACATTGAAAAAAAAGTGTACTTAATCAATCACAATTACCCTTATCATTCAAACATTACACATAATTCTGCAAGAACACCTCAAATAAATGTAAATTAAATCACAGGAAAGTATATAGCTTAAGACGGAAGTCGTTCGAGTTTTTAGAAAAATCAAAAGTTCTAAAAATGTAAGTACATCATAGCACACTCAAAAGATTGATTAGATGAGAAGGTGCATGATAAATCAAATACTGGATGATCAGGAGCTGGGAATGGCCAGAATACCTGTCCTTGAAAAAGTATTGGGCAAGGCGTGTTTCTCCAATAGGTATTCTGCCATATCCAGCTCCTGATCATCCAGTATTTGTATTATATTATCTGTCAAATAGAAGAAAAGATATTTCACTTTTTGTGATTTTATAACACGATTGCATTCCAGATAACTCTTATTCTTGATTTCTTTTCCCATTTTCACATTACTTTGAAGTCACCAAAGTTCAAGAAGAGGATATAAAGAAGCTGTCCGTCTGTCCATCTCTTCATCTGTTTATCCAATTGGCTGTTTGGATGATAACTCAAATACTGGTCATCAAATTTATACTTTTATAGACTGTGCCTTATGGACACGAAAGCGCTTTCAAAATGGCCACCATATTTCATAAAATATTTCATGAAAATTTAATCTTTGATAACTCAAATACCAGCCGACGGATTAGATTCTGCTGATGGCTCAAGACTGTAAAAGGTTTTTGCTGTCACTTGAAAAATAAAGGAACAGTGTTGTTATTGTTAATATTGTCAGAAGAAATGATGGCTGGCAGTCTCTAACTTTTTTGTGGGTGGTGTTCAGCATTTGGTGGTTGGTATTAGGCGTCTGAACAAAAAGCAGGTAGTCAGTGGTGACATTTTGCATGTTAATGCCTCATTGTTGCTTTATTTACAGCTTATGAAACAAATGAGTTCTACAGACACGCCCCTTAATACAGTTGCCAGACTAAAGGAAAAATTGAACTCTGAGAAAACTCCCTTCCTAGTACTCAGTGGTGGCAGCAAGACTCTCACTTCGTAAGTATATACAGGGTGTCCAAGGAGTCTCTTTACACTTCATAAAAAGTTTGTATTATAATTGCAAAGGTACACCCTGTAAAGCATACTTCTCAGTGGTGGCAGCAAGACTCTCACTTCGTAAGTATATACAGGGTGTCCAAGAAGTCTCTACACTTTATAAAAAATTTGTATTGTAATTGCAAAGATACACCCTGTAAAGCATACTACTCAGTGGTGGCAGAAAGACCCTCACTTCGTAGGGTGTCCATAAAGTTTCCTTACACTTTACAAAAAGTTTTGTGTTGTAATTGCAAAGATACCTTTTGGACACCCTATATATCATACTGCTCAGTGGTGACAGGAAGACCCTATTAAACCTGTCTAATCAGGTTATTTGAAACCAATTGGATTATTCCTATCCATTGCATTACACAAAAAAAACAGATCAACTCCTTTTAATAAACCACATGATAATTGTATGTAATTTTTTTTTTCAATGAAGGTCTCTGCTAGCTATAGATTACACAAATAGATATCATCCCAGTATTACATTGCAAGTAACTGGTAGTCTTCAAGAAATAATGAATATTTTACTGTTTATTTCAGAGCCTCTACAAGTTTGGTGAAACGATGACAATAGTAGAAGTTTAGAGCATGCTTTGAAAGAAGGATGAATGTGAAGGTGGATAGTTAGCTTGGCAACATGAGTCCATCTTTGAGCATCAGATGGTAATAAGAATGGTTTCAAAAACCGTCGCTATATTTTGGGGCAAAATAAAGGAACTGGAAAAACAGAAATCATATTTACAAAAGAGACTGCCAGTTGGATGATCTGAAAGTGACTGGGCTTCATATGGGCTTATTAGCCTTTTGCAGATTATTGACATAGACATAGACTGAAACGGGAATTACTTTTCCTGGCCTTTTGATTATTATATTAATATGGCCCTTTCACGAGATAATTTTTTTTTTTTTTTTTTACCACCGATTAAAAAACATTTGGAGGCCCTGGAAAAATCTTGTTTTGAATGCAGATGTGGACTCTTGATATCAAGACATTATATTGGAAAAGAGAAGTATTAATTGAAAAAAATCCAATTTGAAGAAATTAATATTTATTTGTAATAAAAAATATTTTGTGATCACAATAAATGGTATACTGAAAAGGCACTTGACTTTTCGTTCTTAAACACACTTTTCGCATAGGGTATATCACTTTCACCAATCAGAATGCACTGTAACCATTAATGTTCTTAGTCTGCTAAGTTGATACAATGAATGCATAAAAGTTACTGTTATGACGATATATCAGTACATGTCATCTGATGTTCAAAGAACAATTTTAACAAAATCCTTTTTCCACACAAACCTGCACAGTTTTTGCTTTCCCTAATTCCCATCATTTAAAGATAGTGAAATAAGAACCAAATTAACAAATGCTTGGGTGGTTCTGAGGTCGATACATGAAATACATGAAACTGAGCAGTATTAATTTGAAAACAAAATATTCAATGGGGATTACCATGTTTAATTAACGAACGAACTCCGAGGAGATTTCGACAAACTTTTCTTCCTGAGAATACTGCCTTCTCACTGTCATGTTTGAATGAGTTTCACATTTAGTTTAGCATGTTGCTGTGTATATATAACACTGGTTTTTACTTACGCATTTAAAGTGGATATTTATGTTTCATAAAGAAAACAAAAATTGATCAAATATTGACGGGATGGGACCTGTTACAATGACCCCTACTTTTAACAATTTTCAGAATGTTTCATCCAGTGTATTTAAATTCCAGTTTTTGAGCTTATTTCTTGAAAGCATTATACGTTATTAACTTCATATATTCGTATTAATATGAAGAATCAATTCCAATATGATAGAACACTTATTTTACCTAAGTTAGAGTTAATTTTGTATATAAATGTTAAATAATTAAGTTTATAAATAGGAATACTTACAAAAGATCTATCTCCTTAGTTCTGAGAAAGTTGAGTATTATTGCAAACAGACCAGGGTCTCTGTCTATGAATATAGCACCTGTGTCATCATGTAATGTAGAGATTCTTCCACTGAACATGCTAGAAATAGAAAATTCACATACCACATTATACCATTTTGGTTAACCAGTCCAATAAGCCATTTGTGAGAGGAAAATTCAGGGGAAAGATCAAGACAAAGAGAGTGCAGTTATCACAACGATATTATTATAATACAAATACTATGAGTACCAAACACAACAAAAATGAACTCGTTTTTAGTTGACTTACTGTCTTTTTTATTGCTTTTTAACTAATCTCCTTTACTAGTCAAATTAAATGAAATGAAATTGAAATTGTTTGGAGTATCTGTCTGTATCTCATACTTAAGTGGGTTTGGGGTAGATATCACTCGGGAATATATATCATATCTGAGGAGCGGGTAGGATATATTGTATATGTCCCGCTCCAGGCTAAATGCGGGCAGATATAATATATCCATCCCGCTCCCGGGAATTTTTCAAAAGTTTAAAAAAGTTTAAATATCAAAAGTTTTAATTTTAATTTTAAAATTTAAATTTTTTAAGTTTAAATGTTACAATTTCATTGTATTGAACAAAAAGAATATTACGAAAATGTTAAATATAAATATCTTGTCATTTGAAAAAGGTGGAAAAGAATATATCTACCCTACACCCACTCAAGTATGAGATACACCAGTTATGCACGGTCGGTTTGGATACATGGAATATCCCTTGGGATATACAATACATCTTCCCACGGTCACTTCGGTCCCTCGGGAAGATATATTGTATATCCCTCGGGATATTCCCTGTATCCAAAACCTCCCAGTGCATAACCCCTATTTATTCCATAATACTACTGTTTTCCCAGGGAAATATGAAGGAATATAAATCATATTGAATCGTATAACCTGAAAAATCGTATTGTCACTGGGGAAAAAATCGTACTAGAGCGTATTACATAAAAAAATCGTATTGTCCCCATGAAAAAATCGTATTGGAGCATATTAACCTATTTTCGGTGTCCTTGTTATTTTTTCTCGGTTATTTGCATTATCCAAAAGTAGCATTTTAGAGGGGTGTATTATGGAATAAATAGGTTATTGCTGCGCTCCCTCGGTCAATATCATACTGTATTGTCCCTCGGATTCAACCCCTCCCAGTGAATAACCTATATATATTCCATGTCAACCCTTAATAGATTTACACATACATGAACTTCTCATACATGCAATATTATGCTTATTTGTATTTCTGTTACCTTGGATTGCAGTCTTACTAAATAAATATCAACAAATAATACATGAATACTACTTAAATATTGTATCTTTCTATATACAAGTTTAAAATGTTGATTGTCATTAAGAAGTAATTGCTGGATAGTAAATGAACAAAATTTATTGATAAAGATGGGTAAAGATGTTGTTGTTTACCTTGTGAAAAATGTATCTGGAATCCATGTCAGTGTTTGTTTTGATGTGGAAAACCTGAAACAAAGTTTATATGATAATAAGAAATACTAATAATTTAAGATTTACATCATGATAAAACATGACCAGGCCTGAAATGTTTCAAGTGAAACAGAAAGATGCTATGAATCTACCGTAAATTTTTCGTTTTTCCGTAAAAAAATGACAAACTACCGTAAAAAAATACCATCTTTTTCCCGTAAAAACGCCCGTAAAAAAATCTACCGTATTTTTTTCGAAATCTACCGTAAATTTTTTTTTTTAAAACTCGTTTATTCCATGAGAACGGCCGTAAAATCTACCGTAAACTTTTGTAAATCTACCGTCAATTTTCGAAAATCTACCGTATTTCTGCTAAAATCAACAGTATTTTTGTTCAAACTACCGTAAAATTTCCCGTTATTGTTGGGAAATGCTGAAAAATGGAAGTCTTCCTGTACTGTCCCTGTAATATTTCTTCACCAACCTGAATATAAATAGGTATCGGCAGGTTTCTGGTTATCAGGTTATTGCGCATTTATCTAAGTAAGCTTGCGTGTAAGCTTGCGTCCAAACACCAACTACCACTAGCTAGAAAGAATTCGTTCTGCCATGATTTTTGTAGTTAACCAAACCCTTTTGTACACAGATATGAGCGTAGCGCCTATTACGCAAAATACGCACAGGCGTACCAAATGAATTTGAAAAAAATAAAAATTTGTTAAAATGCATTAATTTATTTGCGAATTTATTGATGCTTCCTACCGTGTCTGTATTTTTACGATTGTCAACATTTAAAGTTGATAAAAACGATTCCATCAAATAACGTACTTGAAAAAATATTTCCCGGGGAAGCAAATCGGCCACGCAATCAGGCTTCCCCGTGTGTGCGTACCGACTCAAAATATTGTTTTAACGTATGAAATATGCGTAGTTTGATTTGTTAAATCAATTTGTTTACAGTACGATAAAATATTGTATTTTTCATCAGAACACATTATATCAGTAACAAATACAGTACATAATTAAAAAATAAAGCATTGACTTTGGGTTTATTGTAAAAGTATTGTGATATCCGAATCTGAACGATGTCTCAGGGGAAAGGTTTCAGCAAATGCTCATAACAGATTATTTTTGAAAGACAATTTATCTGTACTTATTTTCTATTTGTGCCGGACAAACACATTGATATCATTAGAGACTTGCGAGTGAACAAATCAATATATAATACCATATGATTCCAATGTTATATGAACATTATGTCTGTCATTTCAATTCGTTAAAGTGATAGATCATCTAAGATGATGAGTAAAAACGTGTAAAATCCATATTTTGTATTTCAGTAAATGTTTCATTGGTATTTCCAAACATCCTGATATCTAAAAAAACTTGTTAGAAGGTGAATAAAAGTGGAGATATGAATATTGTGTTCGTATTTTGAATCAATCTAGATTTATTGTAAAAGAGTTGTAAAAGAGTTGTATTCATATACATGTACATTTTGCTGAAACATTAAAATCCAAAGTTGCTGTCAGTCCATTGTAGGCATGGTAAATGAAGAATAAAAAGTGTTTAGTCTCTATTTATTCTTGAAAATAGTATATCTATTTTTTCTTGAAAATAATAGTTTCGTATAATTCTCAGGTGGTAGTTCTGCTTTACAAACTGTAATTATCAAAAGCACTCTTGCAGTAAAATATGTATTCACAATAACAAAAACAATATGACCACGTAAACATTGTATTAATATAGAAAACCGCATTGTATAAAGGTTTAACTACCGCATTTTTCAAAATCTACCGAAAAATACCGCATTTTGGCAAATCTTTGGCAAGAGTACCAGTTTTTCAAAAAATTACCGTAAAAACTACTGCAAGTTTCAACATCTACCGTAAAACTACCGCATTTTTTCCAAAAATAACCGTAAAAACTACCGCAATTTTCGAAATCTACCGTAAAACTACCGCATTTTTTCAAAATCTTCCGCAAAACTACCGGTTTTTAAAAAAAACTACCGCATTTTTTCAAAATCTACCGTAAAACTACCCCATTTTTTCAGAATCTTTCGCAAAACTACCGGTTTTTTCAAAAAAATTACCGTAAAAATTACCGCATTTTTTAAAACTACCACATTTATTCTAAATCTTCCGCAAAACTACCGCTTTTTCAAATTCCTACCTCTGAAACTACAGTATTTTTTAAAAATCTACCGCAAAAACTACCGTATTTTTTTAAATCTACCGCAAAAACTACAGTTTTTTTTAAAATCTACCGCAAAAACTACCGTTTTTTTCTAAAATCTACCGCAAAAACTACCGCAATTTTGTTGAAAAATACCGCAAAAACTACCGTATTTTGAAAAAATCTACCGCAAAAATACAGCAATTTTAAAAAAATGTACCGCAAAATTTTGGTCTTAGGTTGGCAGGTATGTATGAGTATCAGAATGAAAGATTTACTATATGTAACAATTTAGGCGATCAGCCTGGGGGGTTGGTCAGTACCAAATCAGGGGAATAATGGCCATGGTGATTTTTGGGAAGGTGGACACCCCTAGAGTAAGAAAATATGTGATAGCATTGCAGAAGTGGCAGCTAAATGGGTGTTATCACCCATTTTTCAAAATGGCCGCCGGTGTGCTTAATTTTTTGCTACCGAATGAAAGATGTTATATCTAAGCATACTGAGAGGCAAAATCAGTAATTTTAGGGTCTAATTCTGGGTTTTAGGGGTCACTGATTCGATTTATGCCTAAATCCAAGTCATCAAAACATAAATTCATATGAAAATCCAAGATGGCCACCAATTTTGCTTCAAAAACAAATATGTAACTAATGATAAAAGCTAAAAATTTCAAAATGATTTTGAAGAGTTTTAGAAGACGTTTTCAAGTCTAAGGATTTTATTCATGTCTAAATCTATGTCATCAAAGGATTACCTTATATGTAAATCCAAGATGGCCGCCAAAATAGGTGCCAACATGTATTGATACATGCTCAAAGAACAAATAAAAAGCAATTTTATAGATCATGAAAGGGTTTAGAAGTTAATGATTTCACTTATGCTTCATTTTAGTCTAAGTAATCAATTACTTTTCATAGAAAACCAAAATGGCCACCAATATGGGTGCCGAAACAAACATGTAACTATTAATGTAAGCTCAAAGAATAGCTAAAATGTAGTTTTGTAGATCATGAAAGGGTTTGGGGATCAATGATTTTATTGTCTTAGTTTTCAAAGAATAACTTAATGTGGAAATCCACGATGGCTGCCAAAATGAATAAGTTACCATTAATTTAAGCTCAATGAACAATTACAAAGTGATTTTGGAGACCATGTCTAGGTTTCAATGGTCGAGAATTTTAAGTCAATGGCTAGGCTTCAATGGTTGAGAACTTTAAGTCATCAAATAATTCTTTTATTTGGATATTCAGGATGGCAACCAAAATGGCTGCCAAAATGAATAATTAATTTTGGAACATATTCATTTGGATATCAAAGATGGCCCTGATGTGATGTACCATCTCAATTGTAGCAGAAGAGTCCTAATATGGAGGTCTCAAAGGGAATGATGATACAAGACATCTTTCTTGCCTAGCCTTTATGGACATCATTAATGTTATGTCCATGTCATTCCCTGGAGCATAACGGATTTTAAGCTGCTTGGAGAAGATGAGATGTTTGTAGTGCAATCCCAGGAATCTTTTCAACTGAGTGGTATACAAAGGAATATCCTTTGCATTCATTCGACTTCGCTTCTGAAAAGAGAGCTTCATCTTTAGTTTAACTAGACTCTGCGAGCAGGGTAACAAATGAAGCTAATGTGAAATTTTTCATACTATCCATGATGAGAGAATTGAATATATTTTGACAAAATATTTTGATGGGTCCCAACAACAGCATCTGTGAGAACTAGAAAAGTATATGAAAGCTATTGACCTTAGCTATGTAGGGAGTTGGTACATAGAGATTATCCTATATGAGGTTCGGAATATTGAGATTATCCTGAGGCCAATATAATATATCTGCCCGAGGGTCGTAGGTCTGTAAAGAAAGGACAAACTCAATCCAAGTCTACAATTACACAGAAGATAATATCTCGGATGGACTGAAGAGTGCTGAGTATGAAGACCTCATTGACAAAGTAAGGTGTAAAGGGTGGAAGGTGAGACACTTTCCAGTGCATGTTTTATGTAGGCCTTAGAGGCTTCCAATGTTCTCCTCGGAACATCATGTTGAGAGAACTAGGTCTGCAGCCTGTGAATTTCGAGATGGCAATAAAGGAAATAGGTTAGATGGTTGAGTCATGCTCCATGTGAATGTGGTAATTTATTTTGGCAGCCAGTTTGGTGACCATTTTGGATTTTAATATGAGGAAAGGTTAAGATAACTTAAGTAAAGGCTAGTAAGTTGAAACCATTTTCTCCTGAAACCCAGTCTCAGATATCTATGAAATAACTATTCTAATTTTTTTTCTATGTGCTTATAAATTCATTTTTACAGCCATTTTAACAGCCATTTTAGATTTCTATATAAAGGTATTCTTTAATCACTGCAATTTACACATGAATGGAATCCTTAACCTCTAAAACCTTGGTCTGCAAAAGCAACTGTTTTTTGAGTTTACATAAATAGTTACATATTCATTTTGACATCCATTTTGGTGGCCATTTTGGATTTCTTTGTAAAGTAGTTCTTTGATTACTTAGATTTAGAGACAAATAATATCCCTGGCCTCTAAAACCTTTCCATGGTCTCCAAAGTCACTTTTTATCCTTTCTTTAAGCTTTTTGAACTTGTATCAATAGTGACATATTTGTTTTGACATCCATTTTGGCGGCCATCTTGGATTTCCAATTCTTTGATGACTTAGATTTTGACTTAAATGAAATCCTTGACCCCTAAAACCCTGAAATAGACCTCAAAATCACTGTTTTTGTCTCTCAGTATGCTTAGATATAACTTCTTTTATTTGGTAGTAAGTGCATCAGCGGCCATTTTGAAAAATGGGTGATAACACCCATTTAGCTGCCACTCCT